GGACTCCTCGTAGGCGCGGCGGTACCAGCTCTCCGCCGAGCACGGCCGCGCCGGGCAGCACGCCTCCGCCACCTGCGAGCGAGCGAGCGGGACACCCCGTCAGCGCCCGCACCGCACCACGCACCCCGGGCACCCAGGCACACACACCCAACTCCAGGCACCCCCCGCCCAGGCACAGGCACAACACCACCACCACCCCCGCAGGCACACACACAACTCCAGGCACCCTTCCCCCAGGCACACACGCACACACTTAGACATAAACACACGCTCACACATCCCCAGACACCCCCTAGACACCCCCCCCACACACATAGTCAAACACCCCTAGACACCGCCCCCCAGATACATACACACACCGTACCCCCCCACACCCCTCCCTAGACCTACACACACACACACACACACACTTGGACCCCCCCCACCCCAGATACACACATATCCCCCACAGTCACCCCCCTAGACATACACACCCCTCACACACACACACTCAGACACCCCCTAGACACACGCGAACAGATACACCCCCCTGCAGACACACACAGATGCACACCCCCACACCCATCCCCAAACATAAGCCCCCCCAGATATACCCCATACTCCCCACACACCCCTCCCTAGACATACACCCCCCCACACGCACACCCAGATACACACATACACAAACACACCCACATACCCCCACACACGGACACCCGCCCCCACACACACACACACTCGGACACCCCGCAGACACCCCCCCACACACACTCAGACACTGACACCCCCCCCAGACATACATACACACACACCCCATACCCCTTCTTAGACATACACACACCCCCATACACACTCGGGAACCCCCCGACACACACATACATCCCCCACATACCCCCATTTCCCCCCACAGACACCCCCCTAGACATACACCCCCACACACTCAGAAGCCCCCCCAAACACTCCCCCACAGACACGCGCCAGACATACACCCCCTCACACGCCCCCCAGATACCCGCACCCCCTCCCAGATGCACCCCCAAGCCCTCCCCTAGACACAATCCCCTCAGACACGCAGCCCCCCCCCACATACGCACCTCCCCAGACACATTTGCACACACACCGCTGCCCCCCCCCGGGCACGCACAGGGGCAGCAGGGGGGCTGCGGGGCGACCCGTGGCCGGGGCTGGCAGAGTTGAGCGGGGAACGGGCAGGGAAGAACCCGGCCGGGAGCGGGGCACGAGCCGGGCAGCAGCCCCCCGCGCCCGGGGACAGGCGGCTCCATCAGGGGACGGCGTCGGGGTCATTTTTTACATGCCAGTTTGGAGAGGGGGAACATGGGGACGGGGGGGGTATTTGGGGACCGGGGGGGAGGGTATGAAAGCCCTCAGCACAGATGGATTTTAAGCATCCGTGCCTTTCTTTTATGGATAACTTACCCCGTATTTCCTGCTGCGGGTTGTGACTGCAATTCTCTCTTTATTCCCAGCCACAGAATTCATGATGGTTCGGGGGTTTGGGGTTGGTTGGGTTTTTTTGTGATAACCAGGAGAATTTCCTCCAAATTCCCACTTTACATCCGCAAGGGAAGGTTCAATCCAGTACCACTCGCCCGCTGGAGAGATAGCTCTGCGCTGAATTCAGCCTTTTTCTCCCCTCCAAAAAAACACCGAGCCCAGAAGCACCATCAATTCTCAGGGAGAAACCCCCCCCCCCCCCCAATAATAATGTTAAGGATTTGTTGTTTCATCGAATCGTTTGTTCCCTCATTGTCTTCTCTATCCCTTTACACTCCCGGCTTTCCTAGGAAGAGCAACATCCAGAGTGTCAGCATTGCTTCCAGCCACACCGTGCAGTTTTCCTCCACAAGTGAGATGAATAAGCACATCCAAGGTAGCTCGAGGAAGGTAAAAGAGCAAGAAGAAGAGAGCTAGGCTCTCCCTTGGAAGCAGAGCTTTCTCCCTCTGCTATGGTGCTGTGGAAACTTGTTTCCTTCACCAAGGTTTGTAACTGAGTTAAAAGAAATCCTCCAAAAATATCAGGATCCAGTCTCTGGGAGGAGCTTCTGAGTCCCTTGCAGCCAATATCCTTCTGCCCATTTGTGCCTGACAGTTTTATAAGGAAAGGGAAGACTGTGGCTCCGTAACACTCCTTGGTCAGCAGAGGAGCTGCAAAACGTTTGTAACCGACGCCTCTGAAGGCTTTGAAAACACTGCCAGAGCCTCACTGCAGTCCTGTGCCATACCTTAGCTGCTGAAGGGGGTCCATTTTATTTTGCAGTATTTCTTGATTGGCATTTGTACATTTTTTTTGCTTGCTTCCTTCAAAAACAGAAGAAGGAAAACAATAACAAATAAACAATAAAAAACCCTTATTGCTTCCACTGCAGTTATTGGTTAGTTGCCAATCCTCAGGGCTTTCACGAAGGTGATTTTGCAAGCCTGCCAAATTCTGTGCAAGTAAGTATGAAAGGGAAGCAAGCTGGGATGTTTTGCCCCATCTACCACAATCAATGCTATTTCTTTCCCTCTGTTGTAATTTTAGGTATACTGATTTAATTTGCAATCAAGGCTTATTAAATGATTTGTTAACAATAACATCTCCAACTTGGATCCTGCCTTTTTTGTTTGTTTGCTTTTTGATTTTCACGAAGGGAGGTTATTCAACTGGAGGTGACCCCTAGTACCAATATTCCTAATAAACTCCCTCCAAAATGTTTGCTGGCTCTCAAGAAAGTGATGAAATTAAGAGCTAAATGCCAGATCCTGTGATGTGGACAACAAGCAGAGTGCAAATCAAAAGGCATAATGCAAAGATTCACCAAGTTTAGGGCTGGAAGGGACCTCATGAGATCATTGGGTCCAGCTCCCCTGCTCTGGGCAGGAAAGACTGCTGGGGTCAAATAACCCCAGCTCAGTATAGTGCTTTTCCAGTGCTGCTGCATGGACCTATCTGTGCTACTATTCCTGGTGTTCCTTCTATGCTGTGTTTGACTAGGCTTAAGCTACTCTGAAATACGCTGGACTGTAATAGTCATACGGGGCCAAAACTGTGCAACATGAAACAGTCATATTGCACTGGTGGATCTGGTCCTGAATACTGAAAAGCATACATCGGATCAAATGAGTTAAACAAAGAAGTTGCTTCCTGGTTTCTAGCAAATGCAAAAAGAATTCAGATGACTTTTAACTGTGCTACAGAATTACTCATTCTATTAACAGGCATGTTCAGAACAACCAAGTGATGAAGAAAAATGCAATGCAAGTCCCCAGTTCTCTAGTATTGCAGAACAATTGCATTTGCTTCTCAGTCCCACAGGCACAGAGACCATGAGCTCAGGCAGACACGTGCCATTTTTGCCATGGTGTATAACTTTTAATTTTCTGGGATCAGCATTTCTTATGGTGAACTGGCAGATTTACTTCATTTTTCATCAGACCTTTAACTAACACACTGCTAGATATGCCTGCCTAACTACATCTGTTGTGTTTCTGATCATTAGATTGTGTGTAATGGCATGCGTACCATGGGAGATTATGGATATAGTGCGGGTAGGGGGCAACAGATTGGCTAATGTGCTTACAAATTCCAAATCAAAAGGCAACTGCATTGTTACAGATTGGGAGGGAGAGCATCTAGAATAGCTCTGAGTCTGTTTTAAGAAGCTGGTGGGCAGGAAACAGGTTTGGGGGTGGTTTTGGGTGGGAAGAGGGTGGACAACACAGTTCAAGCAAGGCAAATGAGGTGGTATTTTACAGCTGATTGAAAGAGCAGCAAACTCAGAAAAGAATTACCGTAACGCTGTATGGTTTAGAAAAGACACATGCTGTAGGTAAGAGAGAGAGAGAGAAAGAAATGGTCCACAAGTTAAAGGATAACACCTGAAATGGACCAATAGCATGGTGAACAAAGTGTTTCTACACTAGGAAAAAAACAAGACCTTTAATGGATCAAATCTGCAGTTTCACCAGTGGCCCCAGCTGTGGAGGCAGAAAGTAATCACATATTCTTTCCCCTGTACCCTGCAACCCTGCTCAGAATATGATTAGGCAATAAAATAATAAGTGACAGAGACCTGCTTACACAGCAGCCTTCAGTAGTATTGCCAAAGGACTGAAATACAGGTCCTAAATTTACCATTGTTGATGCTTTCTAGTGTAGCCCAGCAAGAATGACAGCACCCAGCACCTCTTCCTCTAGTGAACCTGCAAAAGAAGCTGCAAGCGAAATATCATTAGCATTAGTGGCACATTGCTTAGCTTAAATGCAATGGAACTGCATCCAGGAGATGAAATGGACAACGTGTAGTCCAAAAAACCTTGCAGATTTGTCATGTTGAACAATAGTGATTGAACAGCCTATTCCAAAGAGAAAACGAGCAGCTTCCAATGGGCTGCGAGTGCCCTCTACTGGTCATGTCCAGCTGGGCCAACCCCAGGATTTCATTCTTCTCTCTAGAACGCTACTAAAATGTTCTTCTCTATCCAGTTTAATCCTGATTCTCTCCTGGCTTCACACAGCCACGAAGAAGGCCTTTAAAATCTTTACTTCAACTTGACTGATTATGAGTGCAACACCGGCTGTACATTTTGCTCTGGTATTCATTGAACATTTGTACTTCTGGGGCAAATTGCTCCAAAATGTTTTGTAATAGGGGCAATTACAAAATTATATGTACAATAGTACTGCCAAAAAGTACAGAGAAGAGAAAATTCTAGGCATAACCAGAAATAAAATAGAATCCGTAGAAAACTCAGGTATTTGTCACTGGACTAAAATCTACTGAGATGTGAAACTGGAGTAATGCTATCAATATAGGAAAGTAGCGTTGGAAGGGGCCATTCCAACCACTGAGTCCAGTGCTTTGCATTCACAGACACCACTTCCTTGAAGAATTCTAAATATCATATGCACCACAAGCCGGTAGGCACCTTATGAAAACAAAACCCGACACTTTCTATGACATGCCACAGGTAAAGAGCCGGAGAGACAAGGGCAGCATGAATGCTCTGCCACTCCAGTGGCAGAGACCTTACTAGGTTAATACAGGGCTCTCCAACTTCTAAGTGGCAGGGGGGGCCCTGGGCCTCTTGCCACCCAAGCCATCTGCTACCAGGGGCAGGGGAATGGGACAGGGGCAGGGGCAGGGAAATTGAAGGAGGAAGCCCAGTGATCCCAGCTGAAGCAGTAGGAAGCTGCAGGCTGCAAGTTTACTGTTTGTGGGCTGCACAGTGGCCTGTTGGACAGCCCGGAATTAATATATGCTTAGAAAATTCCAGGGAGAGGGCCATGACGCATGCTACAGAGCTTGCCAATCTGACCTGGATAAAAATGCCTACCTGACTCCAAGCTAGAGATTAGTTTGACCCTAAGCAAGATGAGCAAGACCCTCTAGCCAGGTACCCAATAGGTTTCTAAATACTGACAGGAGGCAACTCTGCACCACAGTGAAAACACCCAACACTGCCTGTGACCACTGACCAGGACTTCAGAGGAAGTTTAAAATAGGAACCCAGGCAAAGAGCTTTATGGGGGAAAACATTTTCTCTCTGACCCCTGCAGACAACTAACTGAAACCCTGAAGCATGAGATTACCAGACCGTGCCTGCCTAGAGACAGGCACCTTCGACTGTTTGAAGAGATTCAGGTTCTTTGCTCCTACTCCTCAGTTAGGAAGATCATTCCAAAACTTTGCTCCTTGAATTGTTAGGCACCTTTTCCCAATTTCTCTAGGTGAGAATCCAGTCCATCTTTTGTATTCTTATTTCTAGTTGCTTTCCATGTTAGGTGTCAGAAGAAGATTCTAATGGAGCTGAAAGTTGGCATTTGCCATGAGCTGCTGCACTGCTGCTTGAAAGATAATTAAAGCACTTTACCCTCCCTGTAGTATGATGTCTAGATGAGTATGTAAGCAATCTTTGCTTATGATCTACCTGTGCTCTCCAGACCATATGATCATCTGGTGGCCTGCCAAATGAGTTGTTAGCTAGCTGAGATGCATTTAGTATTTTAGTTGAGTGTAGCTGTAATAATCTGTAGTTTAGGTTGAAAACAGTGCTCCTCCTAGACATACCAGTATTCTTAAGGCATTAATGAACTTCCTAAAAGGATATACTATATTTACTTGAATATAAGATGATTCTGAATATAAGTTGACTGCCCAATAATTAGATTCTATATATGTAAAATGTATATATTTGTTGTAATATTCCAGGGGGGCACTGCAGGAGAGGGTGTCATGGCTGGCTCTGGTGCTCTCAATGCCAGCCTGGTATTGCAGTACCTCTAGGCCTCATGCCACTTCCCTGCAGAGTGAACATACACCAATTTTTTTAAGGGCCCCAAAAATGGTTCTCATTAGCACATTTGCCTAATATAGGCCATGTGTTTATAGTCATGCTCAGTGTTGGCTGCATTTAATCAACTTCATAGATGGTTTTCATTGCTAAGTACATGCTGCTTTTGAAAGCAGTTTAATAATAGCCAATGTATTTAATGAGGTTTCCGTGTATGTGAATGTAAGAAGAGGGTTTTTTCCCATGCTGATTGGGGGAGTCTTGTATTTGAGTAAATATAGTATATCCTTTTTATGTAGGAATTCTGTATGCTTGGCTAAACAAAAACTTTTTAGCTGATTTTGACGCTTTCTGATCAAAAGATAACTATCTTTTAAAATCTGAAACTTGGAATAGGACTGTTCTTCAAATAAAACCTCTAAGAAGTTTCTTAGGGCTTGGTCCCATTGATCTAACTGGATGAAGACATATATCCCTTTAAGAAAATTAGTTAAGATATAAGAAACTTATAAGCAAAAACAATTAAAATGTGCATTATCTCAGGTGAAAATATTAGCATAACAGCCTTACTTCATCATGGGTATAAATATATCAAAGTTAGGGTACCTGCACACATAGGCGACTGGTAGGGGGTGTGCATGCCCCCCCGACGGGGCTGGTGTCCCCCCCAATGGCCAGCATTGATGCTGTCGGTAGGGCTGGTCCCCTGACAGGGTCAGCAGCTTCTGCGGGTGCGCCCCCAGATTCAGGAGGCACCAGTCACTCATGCCTGCACAGAGGATGAATTTGATCTAATGAGGTCTTGCTCCTGAGTCTCAGTTCAGGGAATCCAGGGAATGCAAAGCACTCTACAACTGTGGCTATTAGCTGCATTTCACAGCTGGAAAACTCAGACAGGGATGCGAGACATAACTTTCCCTATAGCAATCAAGTAGTAGCGCTGGGAACTGAACCTACTATAAATCTTCCAATTCCAAGGCTCTTGCTTGGGAAAACTTTCCAGAGGTTGCCACTGGGTACTCAATTGGGTCTTAGAGTGGCCACTTTCAAAGGATTAGGGAATATTCACAGCAGATTTTTGTGCTTCATTTTTCTTAAATGCATTCTCATCATTAGATCCATAAGCTGTCTGGAGACTCATTCATTCCTTGGTTATGCAAC